AAGAAGAAAATGAAGAGGAGAGAGAAGGTTTGTCTGATCGGAACGCGAGGTGAGAAGAAATCGCCGCCGCCATTGGTTTTGGTGGGAACAGTCGAGCTCAGCGTACCTGCGGGTTTTCAGTTTCAGGGGTTTTTCGTAAAATCCAAAACTTCAGAGGCCCGACACAGTCACGGAGTTTTATTAGCCGGGTGATTCTTATCCTACGTGTCAATTAGAGGAAAGTTTTATAGCAAATTACACTTTGCATCATAATTCAGTAAAATAGACCTGTAAACATAGCGGGTTTACGAATTCGATACATATTTCAATATACATTTTAAAAATTGACCTCACTACCTTAAAGTATACCTGGAATAATTATTTTTTTTTTCGAAAAACAACGACATTTATTGATGATAAAAAAATCGGACAAATTTGATTAGCATCTCATTTGGATCGGATTAGATTCTTATCGGATTTAATTTAAGATCTATAAATGATTTAAATATCATTAGTAAGCTTATTCTTTTATTATATATATATATATATATATATATTTTTTGATAAAAATTATAGATTTTATTAGATTAAATGGACTTATGTAAATAATAAGAAAATAAAATTCACAAAATCGGATGGACTTATGTAAAGTGTTAAATCATCCTAAGTTTGGCTACGTTCACGAGGGTAGATGAGTTCTCATTAATAATGTAGAATTTACATAATACAAAGGTTCAAGCATAATCATCGTTGGTGAGTTCTAATAATGAATTAGGTATAATAATGGCATTAGGGATTAATCGTAGGAGAATGATCTCCTTCTATAGTTGAGGAGAGTCGCATGCTTTCGTCCATAGTCTATGTTCGACTCTAGGAGCTTTATTCTAATGTTGGCACTGTGAACACGGAAAATTCCTGAAACGAAAGAGACAAGAACAACGTGCACAAACAAATATTTGTATTAATGGATTTTGGGTTACAATCTCTCTCTTAAATTTGATCCTCTGATTCGATCTTCGTAAGGTGTGTATTTGTGGATGTGCGATTGATCCAAAGGGCCGTTGGGCTTGATCTAAGGATGAACGTTCTTCAAGGGCCGTGGACTTGATCTTGAAGGTGGATTTGAGCGGATCTTCAAAGGGGCTTTTGGGCTTGATCTTTGAAGAACAGTGATTAACGGATCTCCAAGGGCTTTTGGGTTTGATCTTGAAGAACAGTGATGAACGGATCTTCAAGGGCTTTTGGGCTTGATCTTGAAGAACGGTTAGATGTGTGGATTTGTCGACGTTGTTGATCCAAAGGGGCCGTTGGGGCTTGATCTTGGATGAACGGATGACGAACGATTGTGCTTTCTTCAAGGGTCGTCGGGGCTTGATCTTGAATTGGTGGATGGTTGATCCAAGGGCCGTCGGGGCTTGATCTTGGAAGAACGATGAACGAAGAACGAAGAAGGCTTTCTTGATTCTTCGGGAACCTGGATGCTTGAGAGCTTCGGAGTTTCAGAGTTTCAGAGCTTCAAGGTGTAATATGAATTGGTTCCTCCCTTTCCAAATGAATGAAATGGGCTTGTATTTATAGAATTTTCCAAGGCCTAATTTTGAATATAATATTCCAGATGAAATAAGTCGTTTCTGCCAGGTGTTGACACATGTCTTGTTTGATGACTTTTCCAATTTATTTCGATTTTTTGTTTAGACACACGCTACGTGTAAAATTTATGTAATACATGAGCGTTGAAACTTTGATTTATCGGTCAACATTTATTTACCGAAATTTCGATGTCTACAGGCACATGTTGCATCGTGATTGGCCTCTTGGTTGGAGAGAAATCCTTGTGCTTTGGCAGGGGTGCCTCAACACGAGTCTTCTAGTGGGTCCCTAAAGGCATAAGGTTGACCAGTACGCGGTAGTTTAGGAATTAGTGAAGTATGGTACAAACAAACACAAAAACTAAAATTTGTCAATAAATCTACGTCCAATAATCAAATTCTTACCATCACGCAAACCTTTCTATACGTTCTAGTTTGCTGAATAGAAAGACGTTTCAACTTCTTGTGAATGTGATTCCATATATAGAGTGAAGGATTTGTAGAGAAATCGGCGATTTCCAGCTTAAATAAGTGTTTTTTTCTTTTGTTGATAATGAAGCTATGATGGAGCGTTTTCAAAATATGAAAACACGTCGTTGACTATTGTAACTTGTATTGTTATTTGTTCTATAAGTTATAAATAATGGAACTCTGATTTAATTTTTAAGGTTATTATGTGTCTAAGAAATGTTTGTGAACTTTTCCATGTGACCCTCCAAATAATTTTTTTCTGCATCCGCCACTGCACACAACAACATAAGTCTTTTTCTTTTTTAAAAGGGGGATAACCGATGGCAAGTCACGGTTATTCATCACTTTCGTACCCGAAGTGACTATGGGGAATTTCACCATGCTCGTAGCCAGGGTCAAGCAAGAGAGAATGTCTACTAGTGCTACTAATATTTATTTGCACTAGTAGATATTCTGTTTGGAAATGGATCCTCTCCCGATCCCTTCTTCCTAATCCACCAAGTTCGGAAATTCAGACCATTGAAATTAGATCAAATGGCTACAAACAAGAGCCCACTTTAAAAATTATAATAACTTTAACTGTTGGATCAAATTTTAATGACCAGAATTTCTGAACTTGGTGGATTAAGAGAAAGAGATTGGGGATCATTTCCATTCTGTTTCACCTTTGAGTACTATTTCCCGCTTGAAATGGTGTACGACAAATTTTTTTTTTTTTTTGGGGGCAGTTGGACTTTTCGTCATTTGTTGTGAACTTCGAGCTGTGGCTGTTACTTTTCTTGATTATAATTTGAGTCGCCCACTTTCTAATATTATACTTAATTGGAGATTAACTTTTTAACAACATATATCAAATCCAGGCCATCAAATGTAAAACAACAGAGGTTAAGCCTCGACACAAAATGCAAACATTAATCACTCATCAATATTTTAACCGGAAATTTTGACGTTGACGACGTTGCTTTCATCAGCAGCCTCAGTTTTCTCGGCCGGAATCGGAATCAAGCCCTTTGCCTGGCACGTATCAACAGCCATAAACATGTCCTCCAAGCTGTACTTGAACTCAAACCCTATGTCCCTCAACTTCTTTGAAGAAAAATGAATAGTATCTAAGTTGTCGTCAATGCCCTCGAACCTGCATTGCATTAGGGTTTAGTTTGCAATTATGATATGCGTAACAAAGAATTGATTGGTTAATTTATCTTAAGGGTTAGGAGGGATTAATTAGCAATTACTTTATGGAAATATTGTACGCGGGGTATATATTTTTCTCCAAGCATTTTTACAAGGTCGTGAATTGTTGCATCATGTGACAAACAAATGTAGCGGCCCTCAGCTTTCAGATGCTCGTACAAATAGATGTGAGAAAGGCGGAGGTCATCCAAGTGAACACACTGCCCCTACTTGATGATGCCATAATGTGATTTAGTTCCTGAAATAATTAAAGGGTAAATCGCCAAAATGGGTCCTGAGATTTGCATAACTCATCACTTTGGTCCCTGAGATTCCAAATCGATAAAAGTGGTCCCTGAGATTGTCCACCATTCATCATTTTGGTCCTTCCGTTAAAAACTTCGTTAAGTGTCCCAGAGCTTTTGGCTGGAAGTTTGAGCAATTTTCAAAGCTTCGTAACTCAATCGTTTCTTAACCAAATTCGACCCATAAGATATCAAAATGAAGATAGGAAAGTGTGGAATATGATTATACCTATTTGGACACCCAATGGTTGCCAGAGATAGCCGGAAAATAGCCTCAAAGTTGACTGGTCCAAGTGAAAACTGGAAAACTCGCCAGAAACTGGGTAAACTTTAAACGTTCATAACTTCTTCAATACTGAACAAAAGTGATTCAAAAACAAAAATCATACTTCTCGACGAGACAAAGAGAATGGTACCTTTTTCGACTGCTATATCGCCGTGTTTCGGCCTGAAAACGGCTCAAAGTGGCTAACTTGAGACCAAGACAGCACTTTCGAGCCATTTTCCGGCCAAACCACGGATATTTAGCAGTCGAAAAAGGTACCATTCTCTTTGTCTCGTCAAGAAGTATGATTTTCGTTTATGAATCACTTGATTTTGTTGAGTATTGAAGAAGTTATGAGCGTTTAAAGTTTACTCAGTTTCCGGCGAGTTTTCAAGTTTTCACTCGGACCAGTCAACGTTGAGGCTATTTTACGGCCATCTCTGGCAACCCTTGGGCTTCGAAATAGGTATAATCTTATTCTACACTTTCCTATCTTCATTTTGATATATTATGGGTCGAATTTGGTTAAGAAATGATTGAATTACGAAGCTTTGAAAATTGCCCAAACTTTTGGCCAAAAGCTCCGAGACACTTAACGGAGTTTTTAACGGAAATACCAAAATGATGGATGGTGGACAATCTCAGGGACAACTTTTATCGATTTGGAATCTAAGGGACCAAAGTGATGAGTTATGCAAATGTCAGGGACCATTTTGGCGATTTAGCCATAATTAAATAATTTGATGTTAATTACATAGGTTAATGAGATTAACAATAGAACCATACAACACTTATTTCATAGGTTAATAATTAACAATAGAACTATACAACACTTATTTCTTTTATTCAAGTGATATTTTAATTTTACGTGTGATTGGTGAAAGTCCAGTGATAAGGCTCAGTGGCATGGAGAGATTTTTCAGTGTAACTAGTACACGGGATGGTATATCACGTGTCACTATATAAATGGTGGGATATATGTGCTAAAAAGTTAATAACTTAAAAAATAAAATTTCCTACCTCTCCTATTAAAACACATAGTGTACCACTTGTGTTCCCATTACAACTAAAAATTTCTCGGTCGCATGGATGACATGAGAAATGGACCAATCACAAGAGTTGGGATAATGGTGATGAAATCAATCTTTTCTTTGGCATATTTCCATGCAGCTTGCTCAGCTAGAGTCTTGGAGACGAAGTACATCTGAACAAAGTAGGTTAAATTTAGAATATGTATTGTTCGCGACTATTATTTTGAAATACCAATAACAAATCGATCATGTTTATTTACCCAACCAGTCGTCTTGATGGAGCGGCAAAATTCAAGTCGCTCCAGTTGGATTCGTCGTAGACCGACGTTTTGTGCTCTTCCATAATAACGGTTCCTGCTGAGGGAACCGGATCTCCTCCAGATCCCAATAATCTGAGCCCACTAATCAATGAATCCGGGCCGTTGAAATTTGATCAAATGACTACAATTATTATAACTTTTAGAAAGGTCCCTGTTTGTAGCCATTTGATCAAATTTCAACGATCCTGATTTACTAATCCTTAGGCTCAAATTATTGGGATCCGATTCCCCTGCTGAGGATGTGAACACCAACCTTCGAACTGTTTTGATTTTCTGGCATGCCTTCAGGATGTCCAAAAGTCCATTGATTGTTGGCTAGATCACTTCGTTCTGTCAAACCATACAAAATTTAGTTTTCCATTATCTTATTCTTGTTTTAGTTACCACTTCTCGGTACTTTATCTTTTGATACGAGTTTAAATTTCCCTATTCGTATTACTACGTACAGCAGTATATATAGTATATGAATCATTTTTTCTTTGCGCATGCATGCATGCATGATACCTCGGGGTCCTTGGACTCAAAGTCCATAGGTGTAGCAACATGGAACACTCCGGTGCTGCCTTGTATGGCTTCATCAAAGCTTCCCTCGCCCGCCAGATCCGCCTTCCACAGCGTCAGGTGCGTCTCCGCCTTCGGCAAGTCCAACAGATGCTTCACCTTCTTTGATTCGCTGCAGTCCATAAATAAAATCACAAAACATTAACTCTAATCAAATACTTATGAAAGCCGAAAAGTCAAAAAGCAAAATGTAAGATATATAGACGTACTGGGGTCACGCACGGTGGCACGGAAGGTGTAACCGCGCTCGAGGAGTCTCATGACGAGCCAGGAGCCGATGAAACCGGACGCGCCAGTGACACAAACGGATTCAGACTTCGATCCCATATCTTCTGTTGAATCTGTGTACGTGCTTACTGAAGTATATTTCACTAAAGTTGGAAAATAGAAACTTGGAAGAATATCCAAAAGAGGGCGTATGCTGCTCAGTGAAGAGTTGCTAGTTTATAAAGGTTTGGGAACGAGGACTGCGACCCCCCAGCTACCACTGGCAGCCTAACCCGCTCCCGCACGCGTTTTCTTTTGTATCTCAGCTTCAGCGTGGCGTCATCACGTGCGTGGTTGTTGATTTTCTAGTTCTTCGACTATTGGTCTGTTGAGTTGGTGTCGAGAATATTTAGCAGAGTTGCCTTCTCTGGAACTGCAGCGAACAGAGATCATTCACCTGTCTTGTAAGGGTCCAATCCTAGTGGTAGACTCAAGTTAACTATTGATGGGTCCTGGTATCAGTTTGGGTGGAGTTGGTGGAATTGTAAGAGACTGTGATGGCAACTTTGTGGCTACTTTGCGAGACGATATGACCATATTACCTTTCTCTGCAAGTTGAAGTGATGGCTGCTCGTGATGGCTTTGGAAAGCCATTCACTCTAGATTGTAACTGTTCTTTTGAACGGCTCTCTCAATATGTCTTCTTTTTTTTTTAACCAAAGATAGAGATATATTAAATACGAATGGAAATGTTTACATCCTGCGCAAGAACATTAAACAGAAATTCAGGGCCAACATGGTCCCAGACAAAGTCCTTGCCTTCCTTAAAGACAAACTTAGCCACAGAGTGAGCGGCACGATTTCGCTCCTTAGGCACAAAGCCAAACGTCACAGACGTTAGTCTTCGGGCTAGTACCTCAATATCGCCAAGAATGCATTCAAAGCTACAGTTAGGGGCAGTCCCCTTATTGATCATCAGAATGACAGTTTTTGCATCTGTTCCACAAAGACATTCTCAAATCCGTATTCAGTACAGTATTGCAAACCTGTACAGATAGCATGTGCCTCTGCAGCAGCCGCGCAGTGGAAAGTGCTGGTGCCCGAGCCTCCCGCCGCATGGAGAATGCCAGCGAAATCTCTGATAACCCATCCCGCTCCAGCTCTGAAGGACGCACTGCACCAGGACGCGTCGGTATTGAGCTTGAAAGTTCCAAACTGCGGCTTTTCCCAGAGAGCAGGCATCATCGGAGGAGATTTTAGGGGCCGTACTACACCCTCATCCAGAGAACCATGATTCATAGCTTCCCTGTACTCACCGATGTTCTTCCTCCAAACAGTTAGGATTTCATTTGGTTGGCAGTGTGACCCTTTGAACACCACATCATTTCTGTTTTTCCATATCCGCCAAAGCCCAAACGCAAATTCTTGCATGATAGCCTCTGCGTCCTCTCTATCTTTAATGCTAGTGCAGAAGATATTCCAGCTATCTAAAAATCAGCACCGATCAATTCAATGGAGTTGAGATGTAGTGGGGAATAAAACCAGAGGCGGTGGCTGAGGTCACATCTAAAAAATAGGTGATTTTCAGATTCGTCAACCAAGTTGCATACCCCGCAGACATTGTCGATCCGCATATGTCGTCTTTTTAGATTGTGACGAACAGCAAGGGCATTATTACAGCATCTCCATATGAAGAACTTGATTTTGTTGGGAACTTGAAGGTTCCAAATACCTTTCCAAACCTGATTGGTGTTATGGTGCATGTTAGGGACTCCTCGCCCTTTTTTTCCCAAAGCTCCGTTCTCCAGTAAACTAACAGCAACCTCGTAACTGGTTTTAACCAAGTAGCTTCCGTCGACGGTGTGGTGCCACACAAGTCTATCACAGCAGCCAAATTTACTTAAGGGGATGCTAAGTATGTGTTTTGTATCCTCTGAACTGAAGCCTTGCAGGATGACTTCACTCTTCCATGACCTGGAGTTGGGCTCAATCAAATCACTAACCATAGTTTCTTGCAGGCAGTCTCTCGGCTTTACCAAAAAGGTGGTGGGTTTCGGGAACCACGGGTCGTCCCGGATGTTAATCTTAGTGCCATCTCCCACCCGCCACCTGATTCCATGTTGAAGCACCCTTCGAGCTTCGAAGATACCTTTCCATCCCCACGATGTGTTTTTACCCTTTCCTGCCTCCCTAAAGGTTTTCTCCGGGAAGTATTTTTCTGTTAGCACAGAGGCTAAGAGAGACGACGGATTCTGGATAATTCTCCAACCGATCTTAGCCAGGAAAGCAAGATTGAAACATTGTATGTCTTTAAAGCCAAGTCCGCCCAACTTTTTGTGCCTCATTAATCGATCCCATGAGATCCAGTGAACTCCCTTCTTTTGGTCATTTCCTCTCCACCAATAATTCCGTATAGCCCTCTCCACATCCTTGCAAACCCCGATGGGGAGCTTAAAACAACTCATGGCGTAGTTGGGCAGTGCCATGGCCACCGCCTTAACAAGGACCTCTTTGCCGGCATGGGACAGGAACTGCTCAGACCATCCCGCTAGTCTAGCCTCAATCTTATCCAGGACCTCAGCAAACACTACTTTTTTGGACATGCCAAAATCAGATTGTAGCCCTAGGTATTTCCCAAAGCCCATCCTACAGTGGATGCCCAAAATTTCCCCAATTTTCTTCTTATTTCTTTTCGATGTTGTGGATCCAAAGAAAAGAGAGCTCTTGTCCAGATTTATGTTCTGCCCCGAGCCATTTGCATAAACATTCAGAACATCCACCATCATTTGAGCCTCCTCCACAGTGGCGTGCCCAAAAAACACAGAGTCATCCGCAAAGAAGAGGTGGGATAGGGGGTTACCACTTGGTGTCAGCTTGATACCGTGTAGGGATCCGCATTCCATGCTTCTTCTAATTAGCGAAGAGAATCCTTCGGTACATAAGAGAAACAGAAAAGGGGATAGTGGGTCACTTTGTCGAAGCCCCCTCTCAGGATGGATATGGCCCATCGGAGAACCATTAATGAGAACACTGAATGAGACAGAAGAGATGCATTCCTTTATACGATCGCAGAACATAGGCGCAAAACCCAATTTGACCATCATGGAAAGAAGGAAGTTCCATTCCACCCGGTCGTACGCTTTGGCCATGTCCAACTTTATGGCCATTCCTTCTTGGTTCCCTTTCTTTTGGTGAAGCAGAGAGTGAAGAATTTCATGCACCACTAGGATGTTGTCTTGTATTTGTTTCCCAGCAACGAAAGCGGATTGATATTCTCCAATTATTTTCGGCATCACAGACTTTAGCCTATTAGTCAATATCTTGGCAATGATCTTATAAATAACGTTGCATAGCGCAATAGGCCTAAATTGCGCCATACTCTTTGGACATTTCACCTTTGGGATGAGAACCAAATTGGTGTGGTTTAGCTTCCTCAACAGTTTCCCCGAGTGCCAGAAGGCATTGACAACCAAAGTCACATCCTTACCCACAGTCTCCCAATGATCCTTATAGAAACATCCGGTGAAGCCGTCGGGCCCCGGGGCTCTCGTAGGTGGAATTTGGAAAGCTGCCTCCATAATTTCACTGTCTGTGATCGGAGCCGTCAGAAGCCGGTTGTCATCATTACTAACTCTATTCTCCATGCACTCCGTTATCTCTCCAATATGACTCGGCCTAGAGGATTGAAACAAGCCAGTAAAGTAGGAAGAAGCAATATCACAGATTTCCTTTTCATCCTCGTGCCAAACTCCGTGATGGTCCTCTAGCCCTTTGATCTTATTGTGCTTTCTTCTTCTCACAATTTGTGCATGAAAGAATTTAGTGTTCTTGTCACCCTCTTTTAACCATTGAATTCTGGATTTCAATTTCCAGTAGGCTTATTCTTCCTTATGAGCAGCTCGTAATTCTTTCTCCTTTATCTTTATCTGGTCAGAAGCAAACTGATTGGACTCATAAGCCCTCCGGATCTCCACCTTCAGTTGGTCAATAGCCTTCTTAGAGTTTCTACACTTGCCTCTATACCACTCATTTAAGCTCCTTCTTAGTGTTTTCATTTTTTCACATAAACGAAAGGCATGGGAGCCTCCCAAAATACATCTCCAGTCTCTGGACACACGGTCGCGACAGTCTTCCATTTTGCTCCACCGTGAGTCAAAGGCGAATTTCCGTCCTCTCCACACCCTCATTTTTTCAGTGAAGAGGATCAGCATTACGTGATCAGATCCGTCGAGGGTGACGTGCTTGATTGTGGTGTCAGGGTAGAGATCGGACCAACCTGGGGTAGCAAACCCATGATCCAACCTCTGTTGGATGGGAAGTGAGTCGCGATTGTTCCTCCAAGTGAATGGGTAGCCTTCAAAACCCAAGTCCAGGAGCTGGTTCCTCGCCACGAAATCTCTGAAGTCCCTTAAACTGGAGATAGACCTTGTGTTGCCGCCTTCCTTCTCATCGTTGCACAAGATGTCATTGAAATCACCAATGAGGAGGCAGTGGTTATCATCATAGTTGATCCTCTTGCTGAGATTCTTCCATTGCTCCCTTCGTCTCCGTTCATCCGTACTGGTGTAAATGGCAAAAAGTCTCCAGTGGTGGTTGATGGTTGCATCCCAAACCTTGACTTCAATCATGAACTCCTCTGATTTTACAAGCATGATTTGTGACTCATCTTTCCAGAGGACACAGAGTCCGCCACCGATGCCTTTTGGCTCCACAGCGAACATAAAATTCATATCTAACCTTCTTTTCAGAAACTCATAGCGACTGCTTTTGTTTTTCGTTTCAAGCAGGATCACTATGTCGGGGGTATGACGCCGGTTCTGTTCCAGCAAATTGTCAACTGTCAGGTCACCCCCGATACCCTGGCAGTTCCAAACGATTAGCTTCATGGATTCTTGGGAGACCCCTCTAGGCTGGTCTCCTCCGCCTCTGGAATAAGGTTTTTCCTTGGCCGGTTCTTCCTTGGTTCCCATTGTGGGTTGGACGTGAAATTGTCTCCCTCGTGACGCCCTCGTTTCTTCCCACTCTGTTCTTTCATCATAGCTTCGATGATGGGAGCTAATTCGAATGGGTCATCGTTCACCTCCTTGTTGTTATCCGAGTTATTTCCTTGGTCCCCCTCCCTGATATTGACTTCCTCTCCTGTACGAGTACCTCTGACTGAGTCTTCTACCTGGTTCGGGAAGGAGTTAAGGTCGATACCTTGACTGTGCCCAGGAGGCGTCTCCAGAGT